GAAGGGGTGCTGGGGAGTTCTCTTCAGGTTTAGCCCTAAACCCGCACTTTTGTAGCACTGGTACCAGCGCCGCTGGGGGGCGAAAAACCCATCTTTCCCTCCACTCATTCTCTCCCCTCTCTCTGAATCCGTCTGTGCTTTTAACAGAGTAATTCCTTTAATTTGGGCAGCCTGTTGAAGTAGCACCTCATCTAACTGTGAACTCAGCGACAAGTTGCCCTTCGTTAGGGCTACAGTACTCGGTAGTTAGTGTTAGGCGCCCTACCTCATTTTGAGTTGCCTGTGCATCGAATGGTACTGTATTTGCTCGGATAGTAATTTGATGCGCTGTTATTTTTCCCTGTATCTCGTATTTTCAGGGTCGTGCGATCTGTGCTGCGCCGGAATCACGCAGGGGTCAGAATGTGTTTGAAATTCCGGACTTTGAATGCAAAAGCAACTACCGATTGGTGTATCTGGCACTGCTCGTGGTAGCACTCTGCATCGCTGCTATTTTCTTCCGTACGTACCGTGGTCGCGTAAAAATGCGACGTATGCCGCTTGTCGCTGGCTATAGCAAATTAATCGGTGATAATGAGCAGCCCGTAGGGCCACAGTTCGTATAGACCGGCCGACGTTGCGGCCACTCTGTGGTCATCCACGAATGGTTGTGAGAAAAAAGAAACTGTACATTTCGTGGGGTCCGAGATCCTTGCGAGATATGCCCAGCTATTTCGAAATTTCTACTGGAAATGAGTTTCGAGGCAGTGCTCCTAGATCTTGTGTAGCTTTTATCTTAATGGATTTGTTTAGACCTTGATTGAGATTTCCAGGAAGCGTTTCTAAGTTCTTCGAACTTTTCCAGTTTAACTGAGCTGCTAACTTCAGAGCTTCGAACTTTTTCTGTTTGGCAGTGTTGTTCAAACGTTAGAAATGCGGTCATTTCTTATCAAACTATTGTAATGCATATATCTTATTTTCCAATGTCATTTTTTCCGAAACGATTGCTTGCTTGTCAGTTATCACTAATTGATTCAGTTACGGGAGTACTATGTAATGGTCTTTTTTTTGACTTGCATGTGCTCATTACTATCGTCGTCATCATCATTGTCATTATCATTGTTGTCATAACGGCAACATCATTGTTAGCCTATTAATATGTGTGTGTGTTTTTTTTGCTCTCCGGCACTTTTGCAGGCTTTTTTTTCGTTCGCAGACTGCCATCTTCGAGCTCCTTGCATTTTATGATCCGTAGCTTTACTATGTGCATTCACTGTTTTGTCTTCCTTCTTGTATAATTGAAGACTTCCTATTGCATTTGCCTTTCTGATTTGTGTGTGTGTGTGCTTAATCCGTTTTAGCCCGCATTTACTTTGATCAGCTGTTGTTTCATCGTAGCGCAGCTTTGCAGTGTCAGTTTTGACTATCTTTCCATATAGGAAAACGCTTGGCCATCGCAAAAAGACAACGTCTGGATCATTTTGCCTTCACTTAGGTTCTTCACGCCACCAGAGTCTTTACAGTATTTTCAGTACCGAGAGTACCAATGCCATTGGGCAATCGGTGCCGGTATTTTGTGTTTCTGGAGAAAATGGGGATTAAAAAAAAGGAGAAACAAGTGCAGTTGTGTGGACGATCTCCTCTCCCCAATTTATTCAGCGCACTGATTCGCTAACAAGACACGCAGCAGTATCACAGTCCGAGGGGCGTGACTCCTGCATTGTCATACAACACTTGGGAGGAGCAAAAAGCATCGGTAATTTCGTGGGATTGGTAATTCCACGACAGTGTTACTGAGCTCTGCTGAGCAGCTTACTTCCGATAGGTACCCATCGCCTGTTCGATGTATGTGCGCCACCTCTTCAAAGCTCACCCGAGCGGTCGTTTACTTTCTCACGAATGCCACTGTTGCTAAAAATCGGGAATTTTTCTGGTTTCTCCAACTGACATCAGTGGAAGTGTATGTTGCAATTGTTTAATGGTGCATTGAGAGTAGAGTTGTTCATTAGGTTATGTTGTCAGTGCTGTGTGTGTGTGTGT